TGCATTCCTAGAAAAAACTTGAAAATCCTATTGAACCTGACGATATAGTGAGAACAATGAAGATAGTTTCTTGACGTTCTCAACGAAAAAAATCGTTTTCTCGAACCATTACAACCTTTTTTCAAAATAGCATATGAACCTGAGAGAACATTAGAGAGCAGAAGAGAGAGTTTTGACTAAGTGGTTCACCGGGCCATCGAACATTTTTTTTGAAAAAAAAAAGTATTGGTTGGGTGGTGATAGAGCAACTGACACGGTGGGTATTGAATTTTGAGTTTTGTTTTTTTTTTCTTGGTTTCGAAGCCACGAAGAAAATCAAAGAAACCTAGGCTCGGATTGGGTTTTGAATTCAGAAGAAAATTGAATTTTTGGAATTTATAAACTGTGTGATTGAACAGTACCGATCAATGAGATATAAAAATCGTATTTTGCAGTTAGTTTTTGGACATTTCGCCTATTTTCAGAAGTAAGGAGGTCGGCTGTCAAGTGTACACTTTGAAAAATCGGGAGGTTATAGAACTGGCCTAGAATGAAGATTTTGCATTTATAGAATGTTTTGAAAATTCCAAGAGGAAGAAAAATTATTCAAAATGAAAGCTGAACAGCAACAAATCAAAAATTACATGAGATAACAAAAATAGGAATAGAAGTTGGATCCTATTCTTGTACTTTATATTAGTTACAAACGAAATCAAAGTTTTAAAAAGTGGAGAAACGAGATTTTGAGAAAGTTGAGAAATAAAAATTTCAGCTGTATGGCTCTCTCTTTTTTTTGCTATTTTGATAAAAAACAGCTGCATCAGATGTTTTGAAAACAAAAAAGTGTTGTGATAACGTTGCTCTTGCAGCCAAGTGACGAATTATTTTGGAATTGAGAACATTCGAATCATGTGACTATCGAAAACCTTATTTCGGCAAACTTTCGGAACGTATGACCCGAAAAATTGATCAAATCATTAATAAACGAATCCTTAGCTATTCAAAAATCCTGTCCATATCTTTGAGACTAATTGAGAGATAATTTTTCCAATTCCAATATTTTAATTCTCTGAAATTTATGTAAATTTAAAGACCGTTTTCTGATATGTAATTTGGATGTGCAGTACCGGTCAATAAAATATACAAAACCGAGGGTTTCGGTTGGTTTTGACCATTTTCAGGTATCTGGAGCTCGTCTGTCAATACTTTAATTTTTTTTGAAAGGTGTGAAACAGACCTAGATTGAAATTTTGCCTTCAAAGAATTTTGAGAATGTTTATAACTTTTCAGCTATTTGACGATACCTGGGAAAAATCTTTTCTGGTGCATTTGTATACTGAAAACGTAAAGAAAAACAGGTGTCTTTTAGAAATCGGCAAATAGCTGAAAAATTGGAATTTTCAAAACATTCTATAAATGCAAAATCTTCATTCTAGGCCAGTTCTATAACCTCCCGATTTTTCAAAGTGTACACTTGACAGCCGACCTCCTTACTTCTGAAAATAGGCGAAATGTCCAAAAACTAACTGCAAAATACGATTTTTATATCTCATTGATCGGTACTGTTCAATCACACAGTTTATAAATTCCAAAAATTCAATTTTCTTCTGAATTCAAAACCCAATCCGAGCCTAGGTTTCTTTGATTTTCTTCGTGGCTTCGAAACCAAGAAAAAAAAAACAAAACTCAAAATTCAATACCCACCGTGTCAGTTGCTCTATCACCACCCAACCAATCTTTTTTTTTCAAAAAAAATGTTCGATGGCCCGGTGAACCAC